CATAGACCTCCATTATTTGAATGTCAGCAGACAGCAAGAAGCCTCCCAGATCTCCAGATGCATTTGAGATATCAAAAAAGTACTCCAGAGTGTTATTCAGCATGGGGCTGAGTAGAAAATGAAGGCTAATCATGTTTTGGGTGTACTATTCCTTTAAGAATGAAAAATTTTTAGAAGATCTAAAGCCAGTTTCTAGTTTCTTCTCATATGTATCTGACAGAGGCACCTTGATCGAACTAAAGACTGGATTATGATCGTAATAGTTATACTTTTTACTTCAAACACTGTGCAGCAACAATAAGGCAATAGTAAACAATATTCAGGCAGCCAGTGGAAACATGCAGCCTTAAACAGATTTTAGCCTGGACTTAAATGATCAGTGTTCAGATCTTTCTCCACTCTGCTCCCTGTGGTGATGAGGCGGACAGGAGGCTCCATGGAGTGAAAGAATCATCAGCTCTGCTTGTGCGGCCTTAGAAACCAACCTTAAACTTAACTAACTCTGTCTCTCTGCCTTCATATCCTGTCAGAACCTGAACTTCACAGGGTTCAGGAAGATCCTGAAGAAACATGACAAGATCCTGGAAACTTCGAAGGGGGCCGATTGGAGGGTGGTCCACGTTGAAGTGGCTCCGTTTTATACCTGCAAGAAGATCACTCAGCTGATCTCTGAGACTGAGGTAAGACACGCGGCACAGATTTAGAATAGAATAGAATAGAATAGAATAGAATAGAATAGAATTCAACTTTATTGTCATTGCACTGTCACAAGTACAAGCAACGAAATGCGTTTAAAACGAAGCAGAGACTCACTCCTCTTCTCTGCTCGTTAGGCGTTGGTCACAACAGAGCTGGAAGGTGGGGACCGGCAGAAGGCCATGAAGAGGCTGAGGGTTCCCCCACTGGGAGCTGCACAGGTGAGTCACACACTTTCTATGATCAGACTTCTTCTGCTCCGGCTTATTCTGTCAGTAAGGAAACAAAACGCTTTTTGTGGTGCAGCTTTGAATGTATTGCTTTGTTTAATGAGAAATCTTGTTGGCACATTATCAGCCTAAACTTCTAATGATGGAACCTTATGATTAAGGAAAAGTCCAGTCAATAACAAATAATCAATGGATCATTATTTATACCTAAAACGAATACGATCGCAGTGATTGAATGAATTTTGTGATCTCTGCACAGTGACGTCACAAACCAGTAGGTGGCAGTAGTGTTCTTTGACTAACATGGATGTCTCCAGTAAAGCGCATTCAATTGAAAATTTTTATCTTAATTAAAAACGCTTATTTATTGAACAGTATGTAATCATTTCATATTTAAAGTAATTTTCAGAAGTTTGAATTCTGAATATGACCGGACTCTTCCTTTAAAGAAGTATTACACATGTTCAGGGGTTAGATGTTTTTTGTTTATTTTTTTTGCCCATACATGCTCTTACTTTTGAATGACATGTAAAATTATGTTTCTATTAGTGGGTTATGAAAGATATTCTACTTTGAGTGTCCGCTGCTATTGACCCATTAGAAAGAAAACTTTAATCTTTAAATGTTTAAAGACGTTCCACCTCTAAACAAAGGATTTAGCCCTTCTACCCTGGTATCATTTCAACTCATCAACATGTGAGAGAAACTTTTGCCAACATTCTGGAAGTTGCACTAAACTCCTTTCATTTACATTTTATCCAGATTTCGGATGATGATGATGATATGCATTTCAGAGATTTGTTGTTTTTTTTACAGCCTGCTCCAGCGTGGACAACCTTCAGAGTTGGACTGTACTGTGGGGTATTCCTTGTCTTGATTGTCACTGTGGTCATCACAGGTATGACCTCCTTATGTTGTTATACAGCTTGATGATATTTACACCGCATCAGATACCGTTCTTCCCATGTTAAGAAGAGGGGAACGCTATCTGACGGGGTTTATAGGCCCGTCAGATAGCGTTCCTCCCTGATGTCATTCACGTTGAGTTGCAATAAATGCTAAATTCTCTGCAGGTACTTGTCTTTGTCGTCCGCTCTATTCAGTTGGCTTTTGAAACACACGGCGAGAAGGTGGGGGCTGGGTGGTGAGGGTTACGGGGCGAGAAACGCAAAAGTTACGCAATAGTTACTCTAGAAGCCATTATGTACAAGCTCTATAAAAGAAGGGAAATGATGTGTTTTGGTTTGACCGCTTGGCGAGGAAACGCTGTCGGCTCACAGCTGGTTGTTGTATCATTTTTATGTTTTGTAAGCAGCAAGAGTGGGAATAAATCAGCCTTTAAACAGCGAGAAAAGCGTCTGGACATTTCCTGTTCACCGTCTCACCCCGGCAAAGCGCGTCAACCATAAGATTCCGGTTTAAAAACAAACCAGTGGCTTTAATCGTCGTCTTAGCCCCTACAGTTACTTTTACTAGAAACTAGTTACTTTTATTGTGGATTAACTCGGTTAGTAACTCTGTTACTTTTTGGGAGAAGTAACTAGTAACTATAACTAATTACTTTATTAAAGTAACGTGCCCAACATTGGTCGCGCATATATTGAACTGACTGCAGCCTCTCCAATCTATACTGTATATATTGTAAATCAAAGTATCAGCATTAACTGATGATTACAGATATATATTCCATTAAGCTATAGCTTAACCAAACCTAAAGGTAGGATTATCCTGACTTGGACTGTACCTATAAATTTTGAAATTAGTTGAAAATATTCATACACATTTAATAATATAAATATAGCAATGTTTTAATCTTCTGTGGAAAAATGTTAGATATTTTAGATAAATGTTTAAAGTTTAGTTGGAGAGCTTGATCTAAATTACTGCTGTAGGTCAAATCTGTGTATCATAACTCAAGGTAAAGATTCAGATATTTATTACCAAATTAGCTGATTATTTTTTCATTGATTATTCAATTAATTATGATTAAATTGGAATAAGTAATTAATTCTAAATAGAGCATACTTGCAGAGAAAGTTTTCATTTTGTTTGTTTGTTTTTGAACCTCTAGCTTGGCAGATTTGCCAAATTGGAAAAACAATGCTTGCTTTTTTCTTTTACGTTTATATATTTCACGTTTGTAATTTAATTATTGATTACAGTAAGACACAATCTTGTGAACTAAGGCCCCGTCCACACGAAGACGAACCCTGGCCTAAACGCACAAATTTTTCACCAAACCAGCCTCTCATCCACACGAAGCCGGCGTTTC